AGCTGCCCGTCAGGGGGCGCCCGGCGGGGGGGACAGCGCGTTGGGAAGCGCTCGTGCGCAAGGTGGGGCGGGAGCTGCGTCCCCGCAGGCGTGTGGCACGAACATGGGTAAATAAAAAATAAAAGTCATTCTGCACGCTGTTTTTCTCTTCAACCACTACGCCGTGTTTTACACGCTGCTGTTTTCAACCGTGTAACTTCTGACTGGTTCATGTGTAAAATCTTGGCGCTCGGCAGGACTGCAGCCTGTCCTTTTTTTGTAATCCTTTTTCTTCAGCCTTGGAATGCTTTGGCGAGCCACGTTGCACTTCTTTATATGTACCTTTGTGGCTTTGATAGCTAGACTTCATTGCATTTACGTTTTGTTGCATATGTTTTTCAGGTTGTGGCACACATCCTAAGCTTTCAGATGCATTACCAGATGCTTGCATGAAGTACATAAAACCAACCTGAATTCTTAATGAACTAAATGTGATCCTACATAATTTTTCAAAGTCTTAAGTATTGGCAAAGCAGAGGAATAAGGGATTGGTCCCAGTGTTTAATTCAGAAAAGCGAAAGCTTTTCAAGCGTCTGCATTTATGCCACACATTTGTGGGTGCTTGTAATGTTCTGGGAGACCAGGAGTTAAAACTGTTTGGAAGTTAAGTTGCTCTAAGGGTATAAAAGAAGCCTCCATGGCTTTAGTTCCTAAACTCATGTTTGGAAATGTGCAGTATCTGCCCTAGGAAAGCTCTTCTTAGGAGTCCAACTTGCATGTTAAATGAGGTAAGTGCACAGACAATCTCTGTATTTCATTCAGCGTTTTGCTGGGAATTATAACCGTTACAGCACCACCAGCAATAAAAGACAAACTATGCGTACCAGCACTGCATGTTTGCATTTTGCCGTTTACTCTTCAGACTGCCGTGGTGGTTAAATTCAGCAAACCGAGATTCAGAGAGAGTGCCATTTTTCCAGGCAGCGTGTAAATAGCTGTTTTGGCACCACGCTGAAGAGACTGGGGTCAAAGGACAGTACAGACTGTCCAGTGCTGTAAAATACAACTTTACTGCTTTGTTTAATAAATTACTTACTGTGATTAAATATCTGACAGCTTCTAAGTACGGGAGTAACACAGTTGAGTGTTTAAGTAAACAGTCTCTCTGTATGAACTTGCTGTAAGGTTCAGCAAACCTATGTGCATAAGCTGAAACATAGCAACTTTTGTAGGAAATATATTCCTGGCAGAACTTGTCTCGATAAGTCCAATGTTTAACTTTCTTTTCGTAGACCTACAGTCCATCAGCCTGGGTTATAAACTCTCTCGCAGGCATTAACCAAATATTCTCTCAGTCACTGGAGTATAAAACATATTTCATATTTAAATTGTGTAATTGCAAACACTTCTGTAATTTACAGCAGTAAAACTTAATTCCTGTTATTAAGAGCTTTTATTCTGGATGTTTGGATCCTCATGGTGGAAGTTATGGCTGCTCTTTGGCTTAAGTTTCCCTTCAGGAGCCTGAGTGCTTTTGGAAATGGAAGAAGTCAAGTTGTTGATTAACATTTTGGGCAGAGAACACAACATTTGTCCCATTGTGGTCTACATTTCCCTTTTTATAAGAGATTGCAGAAGTAAGAAAGGTCATCACTGACAGAGTTGTTTCAATGTGTTAGAGGTCTGTGTTAGCAGATCCCAAGATCGAATTAGAGCCAGGAATGCTAGGTAGGTCAGTCGTGGATAAACTACGCTTTAATTTCAGCTAGTGTTCCTTCTAATCACTGTTCTTCAGGTACTATAAAACAAAAAAGGTCATACAAGCAACAACATGCTTTGAGGAACTCAGCTGTTCTTGTTTTTTTAGATGAAAGTGCTTGATGTTTCAGCATTATGTGTTGATCTACAGCCAAGATATGAATCATATTTTACTGTTTTTGCTCACTTTACATCATTCTGCCCTTGTATACTGTAATGTTTATGTAACTTCAGATCTACATGAGCATACTTGTTACACCTAGTTTGCAATGCAAAAATGTCAGAGATACTTAAGTGGATTATTAAAGTTTACATTAAAGAAGTATTTTCACACTGTCATTAGTACAAGATTTCCCTATACATCATATATTACTAGAGATTGCCTGGAGAAGTTAACTTTTGAACTGTGTAACAGTACCATTAACAGACTTGGAGATACTACTAAATACGGTAAGTGAAGGGGAGGGCTTCTCGAGAGGGAGGAGTGTCAGGTTGGCAACTCCCCGCCTCACAACGGGAGTCTAAAAGTTAGAGAAATCTTAATTCACTTTCATTCACATCTGACCTAAACAGGCTTAAAGAATTTCCTATTTAAAAGAGTAAAAAAAAGTTTTTTTTTCCAGAGACAAAAGTTTTACTTTATCGTTATTTTCTGTTTTGCTTTCAGCAATTCTTAGAGCTGCTGAAAAGCATGACTTCCTCTTCTGTTGTTGATAAACCGCCGGTAAGACGGGTTGCTATCTTCGGGGGAACTCATGGCAATGAGTTATCAGGGGTATTTTTGGTCAAGCACTGGCAAGAGAATGGAGCTGAGATTCAAAGAACAGGAATGGAAGTGAAACCATTTCTTACCAACCCAAGAGCTGTGAAGAAGTGTACTAGATACATTGACTGTGATCTGAACCGTGTTTTTGACCCTGATAATCTTGGGTAAGAAGAGTTGTATTTTCTGTTGTTTTACTTTTCTGGTTTTATAAAAAATTGTAAGGAGCTTCTGTTCTAGATGAAAATGTTAACACAAGTTCCACTACTATTTTAACTGTGTAGTCACATAACTGAAATTATTGACCTTTAACCCAAAAAGAACAAATTGCACGAGTGTTAACAGATTCATTTTAAAACTATCGCTAGTAGAATGAGTGTTAAACCAGCACATAATCTTAAATACAGCATTTTAAATTAGTAGTAGATTAGCTGTATTTGTGTAAACTTAAGTATTGGTGTTCCAAGCTGCAAAGTTGTTATTTCTCACATTATCTTGTGCAACTCAGCTTTGGAGTTCTTCTGAATACAATTATACTTGCAGGAAGATAGCAGATAAAAGCAATTTGAAGGTAGACATATGAGTATCTGAAAGAATGGCATACGAATCGGGGAAGTGTAATTTCAGTTATATACAGTAAAAGAGGAAAACTTAGCTAAGTTAGAAAGACTGTATTCCATGGCAAAAGTGATAGCCAAAAAGTCTCAATAAGTTAACCGACTCATTATTTTAGAAGAAATATAATCTATAGTTACTGTAAAATAGTAATTGATTTTCTATTTTTAATGGGATTTTATATTATTTCTCTGCTGTTGAGACATCTATTTCAGAGGAGTACTTTGCTGTATAAATGTTTTTATGCTTGGTATAGTTGTGTGCTAAACAGGTAATCATGTTTCAGAAAGGTTTTAATGGTAAAGGTGAATATCACTGAAAAATATGTATCACATATTTTGTAAGCATAGTTACTCTTACCCTGCACATCTTTTCATCTGGCTTTTCATCTTAGAATTTTGTTGGTGATTATATAAACAGACTTTTTGTTGGTGATTATATAAACAGACTTTTGAACACATAAGTGTTGAGGCCATTCTTTTAATTGCTTACTTTGGACAAACGTCTGAAAAAAAAAAAAGTGGGTTCGTTTGTTTTCAGCTGCTTTGAACACAGAACACTTAAAAAAAAATTAGAAAATTAAGACACCTGCAGATTGTCTTCATTTTTTAACTAATATTCCTCAGTAAATCCTATTAAGATGCGCAGTCCTATTAAACACTACTGACAGTTTGGAATACCTTCATCTGATCCCTTTTAGTGTAAACCCTTCAAGATTACAAATGGTTTTACAATATAAGAAAAAATAGAGTGAAATCCTAATACTACTTAAAGTAATGGTGGAAGTCCCATTGGCTTCAATAAGAAGTATTTAACAGTCTTACGTGAAGAAACCTTGAATTTCAAAGACAGAATTAAAGAATACAAAAGTGGATTATGTGATACACAGAATCATAAAAAGAGAAAAAGGAGCTTGAGTGGCTCACATAAAAATGATAATCCATCTCTCATCCTACCAGTAGATCAACTGCAGGTAGACATTCCTAATAGGTTATGTCTTACCATTTCTTAGACTCCAGCAGTGGTGATCCTGTAATTTTCCTCAGCAGCCTCTTCTGTTCCTTAAATATCCATACAGTTAGTAAGGCATTTTGTTAGTATTTAACAAACCTTTCTTTATGCTTCTTAATACCAGTAGTTCTTACAAAATTAAAATATCACTAAGCTTGAGTTGTATTGAGAAAAAACACCTGAATTTAGCACAAAAGATGTTACTTCTATGTTGTACTTAGGTAGTATCCCAAGCCTGTCATCAAAAGCAGATTTGCCATCTATGCGAACAAGCCTGAGCCTACAGCAATTGTGTACACCTTTGATAAGTGAGATAGATGTCTGTGTCATACATCAGTTTCCTATAGAGCCCTTATACAGACGGGAAGCAGATCTCAGACCTTTCCTTAGGCTGACACCATTTTTTTCCAAAGTGTAGTACGGACATAGCACCTGAGATTACAAGTATTAAAACTGTGGAGGAATGGAGTTGAGGTAACAGAATCTTCTGTGAACTTTGAGGGTCAGGAGGGCTCAAAACAAGAGACTGCAAAAGTCTGATCAGAATATAAGACGACAAGAAATAAAACAAGTTACAAGAGACCCTGTGACTGATGTCCAAGGTAAAAGGGCATGGACCGGTATCTGAAAACTGTCTTCAGTAGGAGGTAGATCCAGTCTTGGAAGTGGTTTAAATTGTTGATAAATTTTGAGTTAGTCTTCTGCATAGGGGGAAAATTTGGGATGTAAAGACATAAGAAAGAAGTAAATAGTCTCCAGCTAAAATCAGATTTAAAAATCCTTACTACCCTTCTGCACAAGATACACAATAGTAAGACTTAACAGCCATACTTGCTTTTTTGAAGCACAAATTCATCAGGTTTTAACAGTTTGGTAATTAAATAGGTAATTTCAACTCCAGTCAGTTATGGAATTAAAGTAAAAGGAAAAGGGTATACATATTTTGTTGACTGTAAAGCCATGGAATGAGTTTACTAATTTCTTTGTACTGATATTAACAGCAGGACAGTGGTGGAAGATATTCCATATGAAGTGAGGAGGGCTCAGGAAATCAATCATATATTTGGTCCAAAAGGTAGTGATGATGCATATGACCTTATTTTTGACCTTCACAACACCACTTCTAACATGGGTGGTACCCTTATTCTTGAAAACTCCAGGGATGACTTTACAATTCAAATGTTTCATTATATCAAGGTAAAACTAATTTAAGTGAACTATTAAAATAGATTATTAGTTGCAATGTTGTATTACTATATCTTATTTTGTAGTTTCTTTAAATATACTACTTTTTATTCTGCAAAACCGTTTAAAATATTTAATCACTTGTAAGATGGGTATTTTTAATCAGAGATAATTATTAATATGATTATAATATCAGGTAATTCAGATTTGAATTTATCATAATCTTCATGTATTAAAATGAGTGTTAGACTGATGGGCAAAGAGGAATGCTTAGAATAACATCTATGAAAATGAATGTAATTTAATCTGCTTTCACACTGATCTGTCAGGAACTTGGATAAATTTGGTTCATGCATGCTAAATAGTTAAACATTAATTTTATGAAATAAAGACACGGAAAAAGTAATGGCACTAGGTAATGACAAATGTTCCCTTCATCAGTATTTATAGGAATAGTGATATGTCTTTGGAAGCTGTTTGATTCTGCTGTTCCTGAAACTGATAAGTACTGGTAGAGTGAGGTTTGCAAAAGTGCTGGCTTAAGCATAGTCTGGTTGAAGTACTAGTGACCTAGACAGTGACTGATGAAATCGAGGTTAGGCCAACAGCATGGATTTTTACTTACTCTTTTTTTTCCTTAGAAACAAGGTATATTTTAACATTTGATTTTTTTCCTTACTACATGTATCCCATTTAAATGTTTATAAAATATGTGAACATCTAGAAAGCTTATGACTAAATGAAGAGCAATAGTAGGCAGTCATCAGGAAAGAGGCCTGAAATAGGTTTCTGTGTCAAAAAAAGTTAAAATAAGACTTAATTCACAATCTGTGTCCCCATAAGAGAATCTTAGGTTTAACAAAAAATACTTGAAATCTGCTTTACAGTATTTTGATTCTAAGTTTTGGAACGATTTTTCTTCCTGTTAGCAATTTTAAGACTAGAACTGTGTTCAGTTATATTAGGAGACAGCAAAGTTCGGTGGAGCATGCCTGGCATGAGTTAATGGAAAAGAGACCAACAAATACAGCTTTGTATGTTTTCTAAAGATGTCCTACTTCTTTGAGGGCCACGAAATAAAGGCAACATATTGAAGACATTGTGTAAATCACTTCTGCATCAGTAATCTTTTGTGGCACAACATTTTAAAAATATTTGCATAACAAAGACATTTTTAAACAATCTCCACAGAATGCTTTGGTTCCAGAATGCTGTCCTGTTTTGCTGATTGAACATCCTAGCTTGAAATATGCAACAACTCGATCTGTAGCAAAACATCCTGTTGGTAAATATGAAACGTAAAGACTATTTTAACCCACTATAAATTATTTAAAAATATGCCTGTCTCCAGATCTATTAATTTCATTACATTATACAGTGTTCTGATCAGCAGTAGCTATTTGTTTGACAATATATTTACTGAATCAAATGTATATGATTATCTCTTCTTCTGAAGAGTTCTGATTTATACTTGGCTTACAAAATACAGAAGCCAGATGGAAATTCTTAAACTCAGTTAACCCACTGTTTGCAGAAAATATTTATAATATATGAGGATAAGGAAGAAATAACAGCTTCAGAAAAGAAATGTTTACTTCCTCTAAATAAGCCTTGGCTGAAATGTTGGTTGTGAGCCAAGAAGGGGAAAAGAGACGATGTGATAAATTAAGGGGGGAAACGATGTTCTGCATGGAACTGGTAAACTTTTCATTTCTGGAATCAAACCCATAACGGGGGCGGGGGGAATTTGTTTGCTTTACATATTGAACAATGAGTTCTCTAAAATTCAGCGTGGAAAGATAGGATGAGGAAAAGAATAAGATGCATGAAGATATATAGTGACCCTTTCTCTTACTCTAGTAGCACATTCAAAAATGTCCTTATGGTTCTTTAAACTGATCCTGACTGGTGAGCTCCATTGCTTGCCTTAGAAAATCGGATAACTCTGTACTTTAAAATTCTTCTTGAACATAAAACCCAGACCCAATCAGACATCTATTTTTGCTTGTAATCTAAGCATGTGATATGGCTATATTAATAATCTCCCTCATCTGCAAACAGGCGTGGAGGTGGGTCCTCAGCCACAAGGTGTTGTTAGAGCTGATACTGTGGACAAAATGAGGAAGATTGTCAAACACGGCCTTGATTTTGTGCAACTTTTTAACGAAGGTAGAGTAAGTACTGAGAAACTATAGCTCCGTGTCATGTCAGTGGACTATTTCAGGACAACATTTGAAAAAAAAAAAAAATAGGTTGGGCTACAACATTTTACAGTTAAAGCAGGTAAAATGGGGGTGAGGGGTGGTGTTTGTTCTCTAGACCACTTAAGTGTGGTGTCAGAATGCCTGTATAGCTCCTTAAGGATATTTCCTCTTTCTGAAGATTCAATAAGTATACTTGCTCTTAATCTTACAGTTGCTTTAAGAATCTGAAATACTAGTTAACAATGTTTGTATAGTAGTATGTACATGGAGAACATACATAAATTAATACTAAGAAGGAAGTGTTTTAATTTACATGTCTTCTGTACATTGTTCTCTAAAATTAATAAATTTTGTAAGATTGTTATAGCTGTGTACTATCTAAAATAAATACTGACAAAAACAGATGTTTCAAATTCTTTTAGAGGACATTTTGTCAGTGGGCTTTTTTTGGAAGTATAAGGAAAGGAATATAGTTGTGCATGTCAGAATCTCCATTACTGTGCTGGAATGGTAAAGATGAAATAGCACCAATACCATTCTGTGTTGTGCAGCACTATCAAACACAGGTCTTTCATTGATTTCTTTATCTACAAGATAGATCTCTAAGTATAGCGCGAAAAGTCACATTTCAGCACCAAATTTAGATCTGGGCTTCATATGCTACAGTACATGACTGGACCATCTTTCTGCAACTTAGCTTCCAGGGGACAAAAAAAAAATCTGGAGCTAGACATTTTTATGACATATGAGCTAATCACTAGTGTGTAAACTTTTGACGAGGTACAACCTCATGATTTAAGCCATTCTAAAAATAATAAATAATGCATTGTTGTTTTTAACAGGCAGTTGTTCATTTTGACATTAAATTACATTTATTCTTTCTAGGAAAGGAATTTCCACCGTGTACAATTGAGGTTTTTAAAATAATGGAGAAAGTAGATTATCCCAGGAATAAGAATGAAGAAGTTATTGCTATTATTCACCCTAAACTGCAGGTAAATTCTAAAGTAGTTTCCATTTATGACATTTTGTAAGTATTCCTGTGTTGCTTCTACTTCACTGTAGTATATTTTCATAGTAAATATTTAAAATTACAGTATTGCCAATGGGTTTATTGAATACTTTAGGCCTTCCCTATGGTAAGTTCTATCACTAAGGTCATACAGTATTTCAGTAACTGACTTAGGAATCATTGAATTTAAAATCACTTTTGAACCTAAAACTAAAAAGACGATAGCTTATTATTCTAAAATAGAAATCTGATTTTGAATTCTAAAATGAGAGTCATTTTAATTGATTATGAGCATATGCAGTTTCCTTTTGTTCACCTTTACCAGTGAATGCTATACAAGCCCTCTGAAAGCGAGGGCCAGAAACTGAAATTACGTACTGAAGATTAAAAGGAATTCTTTTTAAAGCTTTTGCCGTAAACTGCAGAGAATACTATTATTGAGCATAAACTCTGAAATCACATGAAATATACAAAAACCTGAAAGTAAATATATTCTATTTATTTTCTTTCTCTAAGGATCAAGATTGGCAGCCGCTGAACAATGGTGATCCTCTATTTTTGACTCTTGATGGAGAAGTAATTGCATATAAAGGGGACTGTACAGTCTATCCAACATTTATTAATGAAGCTGCATATTATGAAAAGAAACAAGCTTTTGTAAAAACAGTAAAAGTGAAACTCACTGCAAAACACATCAGATCCTCAGTCTTAGACCAGAACACTTCGTAAAAGCTTATCACAGATTTTTCTGTACAAAAAGTGGATTTCTTCTCTCTGAAATCCACTGCCATTCAGTAGTAATTCATGGAATAAATAAATGCAGAATCTAATTTTAAATTGTAATTTAACATTGCTGAGCACTTTTAAGATGACGCATACTGTCATAATGCTAATTATGACTACTGTTTACTTGTTTTAATAGATTACTATAGATGCAAAGAATAAATATTATTTGTATGAAGTTTGTTAGTTCACAGTATATGAAATGATTAAATGATGTGCCACACATGGGTTAGTGGCTATAGAACTTATATCTGGCATTACATAGAAAGATGCTCATTCACAAAACTATATTATATAAAAAAAATACAGCATTTCTGCTTTATAACCCCAAACTTCCAATAACCAACACTTTTAAAGTGGGGCAATCCCTGAAACTAATTCCTCAGATAAACATAAAAAATACGAGACAAAGGAAAAGCTAGGGAGAGAGAAACAGAGTGAGGGCATGGATATTAAAATTCTTTCTTATTATCTGCGTATGTGACTAACCCCTACCGTGCTGAAGTGGAAGCATTAGAGTTTGTTTTGGTTTTCTTTTTATACTTATGAAGGTATGAAATAAGCTAAAACTATATGATTTCTGAGAAAAATACATTAAAATGAAATGTAAAGCTTTTAAAGTATTACAACATTAATTCAAGCTGTTTCTGAATTAATGTTAATTTAAGGACAAAAAGATTGAGTTTCAAAAGTAGTAGTTGGAAACATACTGGAGCAATATTCAAATTCAGGAAGAAGATGTGCTTATCCCACAAAAACTTTTGCAGAAAGTTTCTTTTGCAATGGAGACAAGTTTATAGCTTTATAACTTTCTAGGTGTATCCACTTACTGCTTACAACATTTTCAAGTAAAATTTTAATCAACTGTTGTACCTCAAAAGTTTACAATGAAGAAGGCAAGATAGGTAATTACTCAGGTTTTGATGAAGAATGATGCACAAACCATACCTGAGTATTTCAGAATGGAAATTAAGAAGAATTCCACATGGGGAGACTTCTCAGAATTTTGAGACTGACTTGTTCTGTATTTGTAGAAAGCAAGCTTGTCGTAACTGAAAAAGAGAAGAAAATGGGGATTTAATTAATTTTATAAAGTTTTTAACATAGTTGACAATAATTGGGGACAGAGAAAACATTAAGAACTTTGTATAAGGATACAATAATTAGCCAGTTACTGAAAGATTCATTGTCTAGAGAACCCCCAAATTACATCTTTTGAAAAGTGATGTCTTCCTTATTTACTACTAAGCCAAAATCCTTTTTTCCTTGCTTTGTGTAACTCCCATGGCAATAAAATGAAAACACAGGACAATCTTTATTGAATTACAAGTTTTATTTCTTTAATTTAAATAAACATTGTATAAAAAGTACAGAATTACCTGTTCTAGTCATTACTCATAGTGTTCTTGATAAGAGCCTTGAGACAGCAGACAGCATGTGTGATCTGGCAGGGCTCTGTGGCCACAAATGGGGGTATTTTCTCAGCAAAGAACTTCTAGAAATAACCCCCCAGCTTCTTTCTCAAGTTTTTTCATACAGTTTTGTACCTGGACACTGGCACAGCACATTCCTTATAGTTGTTTTGTGCCTTCCCTGTTTTATGGTCACACCTACAGTGTGACCTCAGTACAGCAGAGATACCTGAACTTGCTTTCAGTGACAAACCTACCCATAGCAACAGGGAGTACAGCACAGGCCAGTTTCTTCTGGTTCCTGAGTATATGCAAAGAGGTATTTTTTTTTTTTGTACAAAAACTGGCACTCTAAAGAATCCACACAGAACTGCATAGTCGTAAGGCAATATTCTTTGTTGGCAGTTTCAATGCAAAATTAACTAGCAAAGATGAAAGATTCCAAGACTGCAGGAATTTTTCTTGTCATACTCACAAATCCTTCTAAGGCAGCCAAGCAAAGCCCAGATATTACATTGGTCTATTGGTACCCATAAACATCCTTCCCCTCAAATTCCTGTGGCCTGTACACACGGAACTGAAGATTTCAATTTGATCCCATCCATCCAGGCCATACGTGTTAGGAAATGGCATACAGCATCTGTAGAAGACCGGTTGGGTAGCGAGAGCCACATTCACCATCCCTGCTAATAGCTTTGCACTATCCTTTCTGCTGGAGTTCCCTCATGCTCTCTTCTGTGTTAAGAAAGTCTTTTGGATCATTTTGCCCACAGCAGGCTTAGCTGTAAGAATCCAGTGCAATTCGTATTATCATTCAAACATGGAACAGAATTCACCTGAGTCTTTCCTAAATAGCACCTTTAAAACAGGCACCAAATGAACACATCTGATGAAAAGCCATGACGCTGAAGACACATAATTAAAAGTACATAGAAATATTCCTTTTTATACACACAGATATAAAATAGAAAACTAAAAATATAGTACTAGGTTGTCACAGGTAGTGAAATAAGTGCTACAGAAATGCATTACAGAGTCCTCTGAATAATAATAATTAAAAAAAGCTTTAAAAGTCTGCAATTGCATTTAACTTTTGTTAATTTTGGAAAAAAATACTGATTTCTATTTTTCCTGAAGAGGTTGAATATAGAAATTAATTTAAACTCAAAGAACTTCTGATGTGTTAACTTTTCTTTTTATCCAGCAAGTTCCAACAGCATGGACGAGCTGAGTAGGAAAATAAAGACCTTGTTACCAGAACAAACTCAGAAATATTCTCCATCATGAATTATGTTTCTGCCCTGTTATTTTATGGGAAGGCATATATACATAGTAATAAATAAAAAGCCATAAACACCACATCATACCCTAGGGATTACACACAGGAAAACAGATCAGGCAAAGCTAATGAGACCTGACAAGGCTTTCTCCAACTTGTGGGAGCAAGCCCCCAGTAACACTGACAGGCAATACAAAAGCTTCAAATGTATCCAGAACATTGTTATTTCAAAATAATGTACTTCATTTAGTAGTCTTCAGAATTGAAATGCCTTTCTTTTCTCCACGATAAGAACTTAACTTTTTTCAGCGTACAAAATGTTTCTCATGAGTTAGAGATTCCAAAACAAAAGACAGCAGACTGGGATCACGATGATCTTAATTTTCCAGAAAAGGAAGAAATATCTCACATTTGACCTTTTTTATCCAGTAAAAAGTCTAGAGCCAAGTTTGAGTACTGTCACACAAACTTGGACACAGCAATGGTTTTCAAAAGGCTCAAAACTGAACCAGAGAAATAGTCCATTTTATTTTAGCTCAGCTGCCCTGATTAAATGGGTTAAAGTCATCAGACCATGTCGCTGAAAGTTTTTCTTCCAGCTGGTTACAGCTGTCCAAAATACCAACAAAGCTTTCAGCATCCACTGCTGACACTTTTAACCTTTAGAATGACCGCATATCAAATACAAATACAGAACTAAACAGAAGTTTCAGGCAAATCATCCATTTCTTCAAATGTATTCAGGGTGGTTTTGCTATTAGTTCTTGAATTATCTTGAACTTTGCTTGGATCTGCAAAAAAATGCATTATAAACAAAACAGGGTATGGTAGAAACTGTATATGCAAGATCAAAGTTCTGCATGTCTAGTTTTTGTTTAAAAAAAACCATGCATTTATTTAAACAGCAAGTTGTCAGTTTACTATCATATCTTATACAGAAATTGTTCTGTCTGCCCCTTTTCATTATTACTGAGCTCATAAGTGCTAATTGACTCAAAAACTCCAGAACAAGTCTCTCCGATCCTCATACGCCCCCGTGGCAAGCTCTGATGCCTGCTGCCAGGACATTTGACACCTCAGAGTTAGGTCATTTCTCTATTACACTCCCTACGCTGTCAGCAGATGGGTATCTTGAATTTCCTGGTCAACATTCAGGAGGGGCAGTTTGTCATCTAACATATATTGCAAAACAAACATGAATGTTCTAGGGTTATAAACAGCAGACCATCAGTACCATCAGGTAGAATCAGTTCGACTTCTTGCTAAATTTTGCAATGCTATATTTCACTATTTAAGGACTAAGAGCATGACAACTTTTTCAAAAGAATATTTTCTGTCTATTAGAAAGTTCTCTGGCCTTATACCATTCAAATGCCGTAAGAGAATGTAAAACTTAAATCAAGCATAACAGCTGAGAGAAAAATAAAGAAAAGGTAAAAGGACTGTCTTTTGGCACCAAGGTGTAAATAATGAGTTTGTAACCAAGCTTCTCTCCAAATCTTCAAAAATAATTAACAGCCCTGCCATATTAGCCATGAGTTTCCCTAGCAGTAAAGTGTGGTTGAATACCTAGATTATGAGAATTTATCTTTTTTAAAGGTATAAAACTATATCAAAGCATTTCTAAGGAAAAAAAAGTTTCACAAATATGGTGTCATAAAATTCTGCAGTACCTGTTGGCCCTGGGTCTTCATTAATAAATGAAACATGTGTTTTCCACTCCGTCCATTTCACTTCATTAATCCTGTTTATATTGTATATAAGTTGTGTTATTAGCATGCATGACTTCCCAGCTACACAGCTGCACTTCCCTTTTTATTTCTTTATTCCTTCTTGGGATTGTCATACTTTACCATCCACACCTGTTTTACTAGTACTAACAGGCTGAATGTCTTTGCAGCATTATGTACTATATAAAGATGAGAATAATACTAAGGCTACTTTTTAATTTCTCACATTATAGGTACAGTCTTGAAACTCACCTTAAATATTTAAATATTTTTCATAGAACAGCATAGTAATATTTTCTTTAATATGGTAATCATCAATTAGCAATCAATTTAAATGTAATTAGTTTTAAGCTAACATTCAAAGGAGATTATGACAAAGTACATTTACTGCAGACTTGACACTTGGACATTAAAAACATATGAAGTTGAAAATCTGTTTTCTTACCAAAAAGTTATGTCTATTAAAAAACCAACACATTTTCCCTTTTTTTAAACAATTGGTTACAACTAAAAAAAACAAATTGGATTTTTATACATAGATATAGAAATATTTTAAAGAGGCTTTTGAGGAGAAATAACCTTGAAGAAACAGAGAGCAGAA